TTTATTGGATTCAAAGCAGGATACCTGATGGTGCAGACAGCAGCATATAACTCTGCTTCCTTCCCTAACAACTGCAAGTCCACAAGAAAATTACCAGTTTCAGCTCAGAAATGAAGGTGCTCTTTTGCTGGCTGAAAATCATTTATTTATGAAACAATTTTAAATTAGCTGCCATTTGCAATGCCAGGAAGAAAGAGCACATTTCTTCAGCCAAAGTACACTTATATCTGCAGTGATGTTTAGAGTGGTCCTACTGTTTGTCATCATTTAGGTTGAATTTTTATTGGTTTGGCAAGAGACAACACATACTCTTAAGCAAGATTTAGCCCAAGATAATGTAAGGAGTGAAGAGTGTTGGGTTTTCCCCTCAAGGAAAAATAAATCCCTGAAGGTGAAAAGAAAAAAATAATGAAAAACGAATGGCCCAAGAAATGGAGAATTAAAAAGTGAATAGAACACACACACAAAATTACCCTTCTGGGGTGACATCCATAAAGGCTTTTGGGCCAAAGACGTGTTAATTTTTCAAAAGTTGAAGTGCTCATTTCATAATTTGATTTTTAATATTTTTTATTTGTTTGTTTCATATTAAAAGCTCCTTTAGTCATTATAAAAACACCCAGAATATTAAAATAAATAAATAAATAAATAAACTTAAAATCCTTGGAAATACAAACTGTCATTTTTATTCAAACAGGTAACCTAAACTGACATTTTTTTTGTTACTAAGAAAAAATATTTTGCTCCAGAATGACTAAAATTAAAAAAAAAAAAGCCCCAAAACACAACAGAACAAAAACCCCAAAACAACCACAAAAACCACCCCCAAAACCCCAAAAGCCCAATAAGACCCCAAACCCTATCAGTTACTTACACAGCTCTGTGAAGAGCTGCTTGGAAGCTCTTTACTACAACTTTTATTCATAGAATATGATTTCTAGCAACCAGACATCGTACCCAGCTCCTGCTTTAAATAAAAGGACAAAGTGATTATGTGACAACATCTAAAAAATGGCAAATTGCACCTGATGCAGACCATGAAACTTTGGGAAACATAAACACCACTAGTTACAATATAACAAAATACTTCACGGTTCCCGTATATTTTGGTCCTGCAATGCCCTGGTAACTTCACTAGGATCTTACAAGCGTATCTGATAAAAGCCAGTGCATAAGCAGACTTTTTGACAGCAGTACAATCTTTTTCTGCTCATGGCCTCCAATCCTCCAAAGGGAAACGGAAAATAATATAGCCTAATTATAACTCTGAATAAAACAGTTTTATTACTGAATGAATGACTTTAATTCTTTGTTTGCTCTCAAATGATACGTGAAAATTAATATGTGGCAAATTAACACCATAAAACTCGGGAGTGAAGGATTTTTTTTCAGTTTGCCTTGCCCTACTTGCAGTGAGGGAATACAATTTCTCTTCTGGCATTACAGGCAATAAAGAACACCAGATCATAGTAATGATAGAAGTCATACAGCACTGGGCTTGCCTTACAGCATAATTCAATCAGTCAGAAGTCTTCACACTTACAAATGTTTTTTAAATTTGTCTGAAAACTGAAATGTGGCTCTTTTAATATGCACCAAGCTTTACACCTCAGTGGGGACAATGCAGGGAACCACAACACTTCATGGAGTTCTGCAGTGCCTGATAATCCATGGCTTCCAGTCCATCACATCCCTGCTGATGACATTGCTCTTCAGTATCACAACATAATTAGACAGTTGAGGTGCTATTGCCCCATAATGAAGTCCAATTAAGATTCATTAACCTCTGACCACCTCCACTTATTTGATGGACAGTGAGCATCTCAGGGAAGAAGTTAAAGGGTGAACTTGAATGAGCTCAGTTCAGTGGATGACATTTTGAGGAGCTAAAGGCACCTCAGATGATAATTTACATCTGAAGCATCAAGGCATGTTGACATATTGATTGATAAATGGAAACATTATGTGAGATGGTCATGCTGGCTGAATCTTTAGAGTGATTTATGCTGAAACATTTGCTTTTTATATGTGTACCATTATTTTATGTTAACAATAAAGTGCTGTAAATGCTACATTAGTAATAAAATATGCACTGGCTATGTGCTTTATTGGTTTTATTCGGGTATGAATAAATACCACCATATCCACACAAAAATGATATGGAAATAATATACCTAGGTGAGGCACAGTGACAACCTGTAACTATCCTAAGGTAAAATTGATGTTAAAATCCAAGTATGGAAGTCTGTACAAACCATGATTCATGTTGGGAGGTACCTCTTCCCACTGTGCTTATGGAGAAATGTGTCAAAAAAAAAAAGTATCAGAGTTATTAGGAAAGCAGAAGAGAGGACTAAGAGGAAGGGACAACACTTAAGTGGTATTTGGCAGTGCTTAGATACATTTAGACTTTTGATGTTCCTCTGAGATTAATGACACCATCACTCTGTATTATGTGCACCTACAGTGCAGAATTACTCTGCTGCAATATTGAGATACAGCAATTACAGAAATGTCAGATAACCCCCAAGTACAATGATGTATTTATAGAAAACTCCAGAGAAGAAGGAATTTTCCTTTGTGATTATAGACTTTTCTCTCAATAAGTTACATACTTTTTGTCACCTCCTGGTGACCAGTCCACTTTCAAATGTGGCTGGTTTTCCTTCAGGAAAGACCACTCTGAAAGAAGGGGCTAGTGTGGGGGATCCCCCCTGCTATAGAGCCATGGGAAATATGCTCCAAGCAAGCTTTCCTGGAAGACCAAGTACCCTGCTCTGCAATCATTAGCCTGTGCATATCTTGCATACTCACAGATGCCCCTGGGAAGCATCACTCCTAATGTGTATGTACAACACAGATGCTCCATGCACATGCAGTACTTCAGCACTTTCATACATGACTGACTTTCCAGACATGCAAAGTAAATCCAAATATTTCATGAAGTCCATGGCTTGCTTTATGGTTTAGCAATAAATACAGAGAGCATATACCATATTGTCAACATTTAAAGGGTTAGTTTGACTTACTGCCTACCTGCAGTGCCCTGACCTGGACAAATGTCAGTAAGACACACAGGAACTCTGGATATAAAGATTGCTGCGTAGTTGTAAAAAACATTGAGTGTACAAGCCAAAAATTGCTTGTAAAAATTTACAGGATCGAAAAGGAAAACAAGCAGAGAAAACTTCTGACGTTGTACCTTGAAGTTTGACTCATGATGCACACAGGAGCTCGGGTAGATATGAGGATTTGGAAATGCATAATATCAGCAGGTCTGAGTTACCAGAATGGTGCTGTGACTTCTTGCAAGAACTCTTTGCACTGAGCACCTTTACCTCACACAGATTAAAAGGCTCAGGCATAGCCCAATGCTAATAACTTTATCCAGGCTAGGTAAGGACTCCGGATTCACGGAATAAAGAACAGAAGGGCAAGAGTGAAACCGTTGAGGAATTACTGCGGCATTTTGTTGCTGTACCGAGTGCCAGCTCCAATGCAGGCTGTCAATAGAGTGTGTGTTACCACAGCATCAAACACCTGGGAAGATGCTGTGCTGTCCTGAAATTCAGCTGACCTCCTCTGGGATAACAAAGCCCTGTCACTGTAGAGAAGCCCTATTTTGTTGACAAAAATAGTCACCTTTGAGGGGTCAGAAGAGACAGAGCCTCCCCCAGTGCAAAGGAGAGCAGGGTTTTCATGGTGGTGGATTTCCTAAGGCTCCAGCCAGCTCCTCAATGCAGCCTTCCCCATTCCTTCCCTGTGCAAATTACAGTTACAGGAGGCAGCAGAAACAGCAGGTACCTTTTATAATCAAAGATCTCAATAGTTACAGTACATTGTGGAAAAGCCATTTCCTCAGTTCAGCAAGGACTAAGTGGCAACAAGGGAGAGGATGAAGCAGGGACAATGGCAATTAAAGGCAAAAAGGATATAAAAATATTCCCAAATGCCTCAAAAGTAGCAGAAAGAGAAGACCATTTCAGTCTTAGCTAGCATTAGCCTCTTTACATGGAAACCAAGTCTAGACATAAATGGCAGTACCCAGTATTTCTTTGTTATTCACAGTATACAGGGGGGAGGGAAGGGGTTCACACACCACTCAGCAGATAACAATTACCCCATATACACATAGGCACATGCACATTTATCTCAGACACACACAAACAAGCCTGCTGGCACATATAATATACTCCACAAACCCAATTTGTTCTCACTTCATTATTTTCAAATACATAGGGAGAGTTCTGGGAATGCAGGATGTTGCTATGCCAAATTCTGCAGAATGCAAGTTCTTTTGGTACTAACAGGAGTCTTTATACCATTTTCACTCTAATTTTCTGCTATAGCACTGCCAAACACCATTTAGCTTTGCTCAGAAAGTTGAATCTTTTGTAGGCAAAGCCCCAGAAACACTTCTTCTTTTTTTTTCTTTACTCCTGTGAGCAGCCACATAAATCCCAGATGTTCTCAATTCTGCATGAAGTAAATATTGAAATTGTGCTAGGAGATATTCACATAGAGCTGACAGAGATGTGAGCCTGAGATCCAAAGTGATAGAACTTGAAACAGTTCTATCAGCAATTGCCCACTCTGACAGTGCTGCACATCCACTGTCTGCAATCAGTACAGAGGGCCATAGATCTTCCTAATCACCCTTCTCTCCAGTGACAAATATGAGCAAGTTAAAGCTAAGGTCAAATGAAAGTACTAAACACCTTCCATACATCAGGAAAGTTACCCTCACTCCAAATATGAAGCTCGGTATCTGGCAAGCTTGAGTGATGCAAAGCACTTTGGGTAGGAAGTCTGTCAAAATAACAGCATCAAATAACCTGATGCAAAACTCCTTGGGGTTTGTTGGAAGCTGGAGAAGATGGTTCTCTGCACTGAAGCACAATCTGTGAGCACACAGATCAGCACGTCAGACCCAGCTATGACGCAAGAGGGCATTTGTTGTCTTTGCCATATATAATTGTTCTTTGAAAAGGAAACAGAGGTGGAGCCCCCTGGGCTGTGGGAAAGCTTTCATACAAGTGGCACCAGTGAGTGGCCTCGATGGAGGCCAAGCTGGAGGGACTAAGTTCAGCAGAGAGGATCACCCATGGATGGACCATCACAGGCTTTGCTGTCTGCAAAGGCAGCATAAAGGGCAATGTCCTGTTTTGGGGTGGCTGCCAGGGCTTGGAGGCTTTCAGGACAGAGACACCTGTAGATGTTCCCCAGCTTCATCTGCTCATCCCCCACTCCTGACTCACCCAGGTGCCAAGAGACATCCCTAACTCACGAGGAGAACTGTGAAAGGCAATTGTAGGTCAGGCCTCAGTCCTTTGGTTGTGTTTCACAGTGGAGCACAAGGGAGTTAAACACTCACCCACTGATTACCTGGAGTTAGGTGACTAACTTTCTTCTAGAAAAAACCCAAGGTTTGAGCAACCATCCTCAGGAAAAGAAGAAAGACAGGAAAAAAAACAAATCGCCTAAAAAGCCCCCAACTTAATTCCCTGTCTGAGCACCTCAACCAGATGACAAAATGGCTTTAACTTGGAGCAAATGGGCTGAATGTAGAAAGTACAACTTTTACCACATACAGCAACCACCAACAGGCACAGAGGTATCTGAACCAAAGTTCAAACCCGAACTTTGTGCTAGGCAGTGTGAGTAGTCAGTAATTATTTATAGCTACAGGCCAGTGCCTTCTGAGCATACGAGAAGCACTAAGCAAGTTACCTTTCACCATGAAAGAGGCTCTGGGAATATTTCAGGAGGTTATGGGAAGAATATCTGTTGAGGGGTCAGGGCTCAGGGCAGGAGGCTGCCCGCTACAGTATGAATTATATTATCTTACTCTGCAGCCCCAGAATGTTCTATTTCATCTGTCACAGAGACTGTCAGTTGGTTCTTTAAGTGCAGCCTGCATCTAAGTGCATGTAAGTTATTATACAAAGGAGAAATGGCTTTTCCTTTCCCCAAATGGAAACCCTAAACTCACTGATTCCACAACACAGACTGTAAATCCTCACAAACACAAGGCAACTTGGTCCAAAAGCAAGGGAAGAGCAGGCCCAAACCCATCAGAGCACTACAAGGACTAGAGGCACGTTCTTGCTCAGAGCAGCTCCCATGAGGGTCAGGGTCTTTGCTGTGCACTCCACCACTCCTCTCCTCATCCCTTTTGTGCTCCATTGCCTGAACAAGGTCTTTCCAAAGCAGTTTCAGATTTTTATCTCCCCACAACAAGCAGACTAAACTCTTCTTCCTGCCAACCCCACTTTGATATGAAATGACATCATGACTGATGTATTTGTGGCTCTAATTTGTACCAGTAGCCTCCTTTTCCATACAGCTTCCCCCAAAGATGTAAGTGAAGAAATGAAGTTATTCCCCTTCTAATCCTATTCCCCTATTTCCCTGAAGGAAAGAAAGAACCCCAAAGTCTAAAAATTTCCAAATCTGCTAAATCAGCAAACACAAATCTTCCCACGGGACTGTGCATTTAACAGCATCAACTAAGAGGAACTCCACCTGCTCTGAGTGCCCCCTCACCTAAAATGTGGAGTATTCACTGGGATATTCTTGACTGCACAGAAAATTGGTTTGCTTCCCCACTGTGTGAGGTTCAGCACGGGAATTTGGTATCTCTCTGTTTGAAGGCTGTACCCCAGCATGGTGCTCAGCTACCCCAGCCTGCCAGCAGGTCACTTGCCATGGTCCAAGTGGCTGTGCAGCACTGGCACATCTCATACATGGCCACCTGTGGAATTGCCCCTCTCCCACACATGCACAAAGATGCAGCTCTGCAGAGGAGATCAGATCAAAATTATTTTAGCCAAGAGTTATATTTCCATTATATTTCCAGCCTAGGTCTGTTTCTAAATGCTTTCTAGGAAAGTGCTGGTTAATGTTTGTGTGGTGTTCTGCCACTGAGGATAAACTGGCTGTAACAGGCTGTTGGGACTGCCAGGAAAGCCGGGATCCAATCCTCAATGTCACACTGACAGGCACTGTGGACACGTTCCACAGTGCTCCGAGTGCTGACAGACCCACCTGAGAGCACGAATGTGAGGGGTCAGAAAGCAGCTCTGCCCTGGGCTGTCCCAGTGCCACGTGCCCTGCTCCCCTGGCTGTGAGCAGGGCTCTCCCCACGTCTCCTGGGCAGCCCCATCAGCACTGTGAGGCACAGACAGCCTGGAGGAAGCCACATTCCCACACGCAGGCTCAGGTTTTGTCAATGAATTATCCCTTTCCCCAGATGCAAAGGAGGCCAGAGGTACCCTGTTGTGTTACAGGGTAATATAAATGTTGTTTTTGGACTTTGGTGCTTTAGTGTTCGTTTTCCAATTACATAAGGCTCAATTGTTCATACGAGAATTCCTTGTTGACTAATTGGCAAAAACATATACACAGCTAAGTAGCACACTGTGTCCTACTTTGATGAAATGTGCTGCCATTCCATCCTAATTAGAAATACTCATTTGCTCTTTTAATTGCATACCTTTGCATATTTACAGCAATTAATAAATTGCAAAAGTGGAACATACTAAGTCGGCCTAATATTTGCATTTCTGCTGGTTAAGTCTGTTAAGGCATCACTTCCACATTAGGCTTTAATTATGTGAGGAATGCAAAACACCTGATGCCACACTGGAACCCAGAGTGATTTTCCTTGGATTCCTCTACCTGGTCACCGACCAAAGCAGTGTTTTCCCCATAAAAACTGGCTAAAGATCGACTTCATGAGGAATTAATGCTGTAATTACATGCATTTTTCTAACTGGGTATTATGCCCTTGAAATACTGATACAATCTTAATTACAGAAGTATGAACAATACCATTATTGTGAACTGCTTTCTATTGTATGCCAATTATGTAAGTAATAAACCACTTTCAGTAAAAAAATAATGCCTTTTAGCAGTGCCCAAGTCTTTTCTCTATTTTTAGCAAGTTTGGGAGCTGCTTATTTTTACTGCCTGAAAATATCCTGCTACAATAAATATTCTAACAGTAAGAGGGATAAACAGTTTATTTCTGAAACTTGCTTATAAAACATGCTGGATTTTTAGCTGTTTCTGGTCTGAACTTCTCTTTCGGTTTCATTGAGACTATACCAGTTTACATCACCTGGAATCTGGCTCACCTTATAATTTAACCACATCTGATCATGTTTGGTCTGGAAATTTAAAAGTGTCTTTTCTCCCTTAAGATATTATTTATCATCAAGTGGAGGTAATTAATGGCTTTTTTGTTTGTTCAGTGTACACTCACACATATGTAGATGTAAAACATACATTCTGTTTTAAACTGAGATTTCTGTAGCAAAGCAGAGAGGAGCAGGGAGGTTTTACAGTCAACAAGCTCAGCAAAAGAAATAGTGAAATTTTTTTATATCTTCATACATACTCACTGCTTTCCAAAATCTCACTAAATCCACTCATGACACTCTCGCAAGATTGCAAACTCGAAATTGCTCACAGTCCTCGCTTCAGAAAACAAAAGGCAGCTGACATCCCTGCCTGAAACCTCTGGCTTTACACCTAACCCTGGATTAGGGTTTTATCTGGTGGCATTTGACGTGGCTGCGCCGGTGCCAGCAGAGCTCGACTGCTGAGCTGGAAGCCCTTTCCTTGCTACAGCCTTTGCTCTCTCTGGACACAGAAAGAATAGTCCTTAGTACAATAGGTCCAGCTCACAGGATTTTGGGATGCTGTTCACAGCCTTGGCAAAATAAAGAGCATGGCAGGAGAAGAGGGCAAATATAATTCAGTGTCACTGTAACAGTTTCACAGGGACTCTCCCAGCCTGCAGATAACAGAAGCTCCGTGGTGGGGGAAGAGGGGACACGGTCAAAGGGTGGCCTAAACTTTTATGTTTTCGAGCTGTTTTGTACTGGAATGCTGCTGCTGAGGGGAGGATACCCCATCTCTGGAAGTGTTCAAGGCCAGGTTGGGGGTGACTTTGAGCAGCCTGGTCTAGTGGAATGTGTTCCTGCCTGTGGCAGGGGGATGGAACGAAATGATCTTTGAGGTGTATTTGAAACCAAACCATCCTAGGATTCTATGATTCTCTATCCTCTCTTCCCCTGGCTGAACACAATGACAGGGAGCAATGGGATACATAGGAGACAGGTGTCAATGGTGATAAATTGCTGCCCAGTGCTATCAGCACATCTCCTTCATGATTGCCTCCCCAGGTGCCTCAGCACAGTAGGTGTGAGCACCTGCAAGTGGCACCAAACAATAACAGACATGTTACTGACTGTTTGGTCAGTGGCTTCAAAGGTTGTATTTAAGTCCATTTTCTATTTATTTTGTGGTGGAAAGCCAAGTCTGAGCTTCCTATCTTAAACCAAAATCACTGTCATTCTCTGAAAGGTATTTCTCGCCCACTTCTCTACATCTCACAGAGCTATAAACATTTTAGCCACAGTAACTTCTTCAGTATTTTGGCAGAGAGCAGGGTTTGATTAGCAAACTCTTCAGCCATTCTATTTTGTAGATAGCATTCACAATATCAGGCCTAAGTGGGGCAGAAGCAAATCTTGCATCATTCCCTCCATCCAGAGAGTGTCAACCCCAATTCTGTCTTTTCAGATGCCCTTATGGCACATATTTAAGTATGCAGTTATATTTGCATGCATTCATTCATCTAATACTAAGTCTGACATTTGTAAAAAAAACATACAGTTGGTGAAGCAGAGAGTTGTCTTATTCTTCATAAGTAGAAATTCGAGATTTTAATGTCACAAGATAAAAATAACTGTTGGGGTGTTTGGGGTTTTTTTCCCTGTAGGAAGAATTTGGAAAAATGGGGATTTATAATTTAAAACTAAGCAAGCAAATTGTGTTTGCACTGCAACTTTCTTCTTTACCATTTTCAGAATAAATGGGGAGGAGAAGGCTACATGAAGATGAAAGAGAAATTTACCCCAATAGTGAGCTTTCAAAAAGCTGAAGAGTACAAAGAAAACCTGATCAGAAAGTTATTACCAGAAACTGGAATGACTGTGTGTGTCTGGGGAGGGGGAGAAATGCAATATCACAAGCAAAGAAAATTCAAGTACAATAGAAAATGGTGCTGGATGTCCACTGGGAGATGGAATGATTTCCTCTGAGCTCATGGGAAATTACTGTATGGATATTTGAGTGGGTCATATCTTGTGTTGAAACCACACAGACATTTACTGTGTTACATTCAGATATGGGCAGAGTTTAGTTTGTAAATAAACATCAGCAAACTAAATGACAGACTTGATGCTAGAGATGTGATCTTAAACCAGAGACAAACCCCACCCACACAGCTATTCAGGTATCTGCATTTTTTTGGATGTGAGATAGTATAGAAATGTAAGGCCCATTAAAGAGCAAAATTTAATTTAAATTTGTGCCCTACAGGAAAACACATATTAAGCATTTGATTTTCTTGCTGTCTCATAAATTGCTAAATGTTTAAAAAAAATAGCATTTTTAGTCTCCAGCAGCAAACACAAAATGGATCCATGCTGTCAGCCCTCAGCAATTTTTAGTGAGCCCATTGAGATCAGAAGTGCAGAGCCAGAATGACAGGGTCAGGAATGGTGTTAGAGGCTACTGAGGGACAGCCTAACACAAGCCTCAAAGTTTTATGGTGTTCACAAGAAATGCAGGGGAGCCTGCACTCTCTGCCACACACAGGCAGTAGGCAAATGGCTCCTCAGACAATCTATACCTTCACAATTGTAGAGGTGATGCGGGTGATAGAGGGAAAGCATGCAGGATAAAGGAAATTTATTCATTTAAATAAGTTTTCCCCCTTGTCGTTTAATTTTCCTTTGAAAGTTTTCTGATCTTCTGCAAAGCTCACAGAGGTGACATCAGAGAAACCTTATGAGAGTGTCTGTAGGAAGGTGCTCTGCATAGCAGAGGTGTGCAAATGACAGTGGTACATCTCTCCTGCAGTTGGGGCATCTCTCCTTTCACGGGAGATGTAAGAGCTCAGTCATGATGAAGATAGTTAAGAAAATATCAGTTAGAAAATTCCCCTCTTTAGGTTGCTGCAATAACACCACAATTGTGGTCATGACTGTGCAAATTTGGTGCAAATAGCTCTTTCATAATGTGTGATTTCTTATTGATAAAGCATTCCTAGCCACACTGGAAAATCCTCTTACACTTCGAACAACAAGGCTACGATTGACTGTCTGCTCAGAAATGAGTTATAATGGGATTTGGCACCTCTGAGCTGGGAGGACACGGGGAGGCCAGAAATTGTTTGTGTTTCTGGAGGGGTTATCCAACTTCACAAGTGTTCAGCAGCGTGTTTCAATCAACAGCAGGAAAGTACAGCTATCTCCACTTTGAAGAAGTTTAATCTATGGCTACAATCCAAAAAGACCAAGTGTCCTCTGAATTCAAAGGCAGCCAATCTTCATAGACTTGAGAAGAGATTATCTAGAGATTATGTTGGTAATTAACTGAGGAAATGGAAAGTTGGTCTAAACCCTGTGGATCTGCCTCAAAGTGACATTGCTCTTTTCTTTCCATAACGGATGTACATTGGAGGCTGTGGACACACTTTCCAGAGGAGCACGGTGCAACATGGGAAAAGCAACCAGGGGAGCCTGAATTCAGGTGTCTTGGCTACCTACTTTTGCCCTGTACTGGACAGCTGGGTGGTTGACAATAGATAATTTCTATTGAAAATTAAAATTAAAATTAGCAACTACACAGCAATACCCAACAATCATCCTAACAACGTTAATGTGTGTTTCTCATTAATGGCATTTGTTCTAACTGGTCTTCATTACACCACTTGTTTACTGCAGTTACTCCTAATTAGACAGAGACTATGAGCACCAGCTTTTGTACCCTGTCACATTCCAGATGAGCTGAAGGACCCCTTGACTGCAACCCTGTTCAATAGATAGACTTCATTTTCTATTACTCTAGAGACTTTCTCAAGACAAACCTTTCATTCTTGTAATATCATTTTTTTATCTCTTCTTTACATGACAGTGCTTCACAGTTTTCCTAAATCTTCAATTACTTAATAACTACTTTTTTTTCTCATCTGATAACAGCGGGGAGTGGAACAAAAGAGTGATGCATATTTACAGACATACAACAGCCTTGCTATTTAGCATTTAGATGGTGCCACAGCAAAGAGGGAGGATGTACCAGGGAGGTGGGCAGTGAGCAGTGACAGTTGGCTGGACAGAATGCCCCCTCTCATTTCTTTCGCTGTGGACCCTGCCAAAAACATTATGCTGCTTCAGGCAGACAGAGGAAACGTGCCTGCTTTCCACTGGTCTGCTCCGATCACCGCATCCCACTCTACAGACATTTCTCAGGCTTCAAGTCATTGCTGTTTTGCAGAGCGAAGAACAGCTTGAGACAGCTACACCAGGGCAACAGAACCCCACGCAGGTGGCAAATCCCCCTTTGCAGGCTGAGTGTGTAAAATAGATGTGAACACTGACATCCCACAATTCACCTTCACATAACCCCAAACACATACCAAATCCCCCACCAAGAGCTTAGCCTCTTAACCCAGGATATTCACAGATGTCTGAGAAGTTTGGGAATCAGTGCTCCATTTAAATGATCCTTTCACTCCTTCCCACATGAATTATTGTTATTTGCATTAACAAATGTACTCTATGCCAAATTTCCCCCGGGCCTCTTTTCAAATTAGCCATCTGCAGCCGTGTGAAGCTTTGCATGTACACAAAGTATATGAAAGGATATCCAGAGCACTCTTCAATCACACGGGTACTTATCCATCTCTTAACATATTCCTGACACGCATTTTCCACATCAGGTAAAAGCAGTGTGGATATGAACTGTGGAGCAACATCCAAGCAAACCCCACACACGGTCCAACATTCCCAGATTTCCTTGTCCAGTCATCAGTTTCAAGGAGGTATTAGCTATACAAAAAGAGACAGCTCTTAATTTGAAGCACCCTTCACTCCTCAACAAAAAAAGGTGGTGTTTTTCCATTATTTGCTCCTTGACAACAAAACACTGAAGGTCTTTCCTGCCTACTGCAGAGTGTTAATTTTTAATGGGAGAAGCTACACGCTGTTTGATTTCTTTAGTGCACGAAGCAGCCAACCAATCGTGCATCACCTATAACTCCAGAACAGCAGTTTCAGCAAGGAGCCTTTACAGCTCAGAGCATCCTTGAGGGCTAAAGATGTCAAGCGGTTTAAATGCCAGTGAAATCAAGAAGGCACACCAGGCCCAGACGTGTTACGGGGAAAGGACAGGAAAATGGAGACCTCTACTGAGACCAAAACAATTTTCTCTGCACTAAGAAATAAGGGCCCACTGAAGACATCTGTAAAGCACTTGCATGGTGAATGGGGAGAGGACTAGGCAGCACTAATGACAAAGGATATAGCAAATTTTATGATGAGAAATGAGTGAAAAATAGGCTGGAGGACACGTGAGAGAGTCAGTCTCTCCCTCTGCCCTAGGACAGAATTGACTGTACCTAAGGCATTACTGACACACGCCTTGCTCAGTCTGTCCAGTATGAGGTCTGATGATGGAGATCCTACAATGACCCTAAAGGAATTTGTTTCAAGTCTTAACCATCAGAAAGTTTTTTTCAAGTAATTCTCCAGAGCACACAATCTCAGTGCAACTGTGCCCATTGCCAACCTTTTAAAAGTGCCAGGCTTTCATGTAACACAGGACTTCACATCCAGTTCACACAGCTTTTAGGACAGTCTGTTCTTGGGCATCCTCCCTATCTGTAAAGACCCTTCCTTCATGGGACACTGGTCCTGCTAAGAAAGAGAATGTGGATCCAGCTCCTGCAAGAAGTACAGTGCAGAGGTATCTGCATCTAAGCAGCTGTCTCTGAAACTGGACAACAACCCTCAAAATGTACCAGATCACATTCAAAATACCAAGATTTCAGTGGATAATCCAAGCTATATTACTGAAAAAGCTTTTCTTTTTACAGTAATTTTTAGCAGTTTTTTCAACCTTCCAATGTGCTGTACAGCAGGATTGAAAGTTAATATCCATTTAAGCCATTGCCAGAACAGGAATATTTCTGCTCTTGTGTCTTTAAAAATGTCTCGTGGAATGAAACGATGGATGCCAAGTTTCAAGGCTGAGTGAATTTTTATAGCAAAATTATAAATCCCTGAAAGTTGAGGATAAAATGGAGAGTGTTTAATAAACCTTAACTGAAACACTGCTATCAGATGCTCCTTTAATAATTCTGATAGAAACGTATCTTCCCTCAGATTACCCCATCTGTGAATGCAGCATTCTGCACTGGCATCATACTGCTGGTGGTCAGTGTTTAAAGGCAGAATATTTGGATTACACCAGAGTGTGTAAGACTGAACAATAGCACAGAAGCCCTTCCAGGCAGTAGTACGATGTAACACAAGCAGAACTGGTGAATTTTCCCAAACCCACTTCCACACCACTGTGGCTGCTGTGAACTTAGCACTGCCTTGGGAGACAAATCTTTTCCTGCCATAACTGCGTGTTGGATGCTGCAGACAAGAATGACTGGACTGGGCTCCCTCAGCCTTGGTGTACTGGCACTGTCCTGAGGAGCACTGCTGATGGTGTATCCCTGTGGTGGTTTGGGCTAGGCCTTCCTTGGTGACCAGTTTGTAGCCAAGGAAGGGTCCAGATTTACCCAGTATTCCCTACGATTTTTACATAAACCAGATTATAAAAAGAGAGGAGGAGAGGCCTTCGCTCTCTTTCCTTCCGGCGGCTTGGAGGTGCAGGTTCCCTGCTGTTGAGTCTGCCGTGTTGGGGAGCGAGGCCTGGTTAGGCCTTGTCGACCTTGGGAGACAGAGGTTGCTGGCGATCGTTCCGGAGCGACTCTCCGTTGTCCCAGGGGAGTAGTGAGCTATTTTTCTTTGCTAACTTTTTAGTTGTTAGATATTGGGTCTTGGGATATCTATATATTTTATTTTAGTTTTGTTCCCTTTCCCTTCCCCCTTTCCTTTCCCTTGTGAAATTGTATATAAGTGTAAATATATTTATATATCTCACTTTGGTTGTCTCTCTCTCGTTTCGGGGTTTTCTTAGTTTTTTTCTCCCTCTTCTCCCTGAGGTTGCGGGGGGGGGACGACTTCTGGTGGTAAGGTTTGGAGACTTGGCAGGGAGTCAGCTTCAAACCATATCAATCCCCTACAAGCATCTCTCTCTAGTCCCACCTCAGGGTCTAATCAAGTTAATGTTCCAGTGAGAAAAGAGGGTACTAACATTGGTATTAAATAGGTAAGTTCTGAGTAGCACCCTGGGAGGAGAAGTGGAGTTTATCCTTGTCATGTGCAGTTTAATCTCTTTTAAATGACACTTCTGCCTAGAGGAAATGGTTAGTGCTAATCCAAAATCATAAAAGATGTGTTTTGCAATTTTCCATGCTGACTTCAGGAGCATTTATGGTTGGATTAAGTCCACTTTCTCCCTAGAATTTACAGCGATGTAAGTTTATTTTGTAACGACACCATCACACTGGTGCACTCGTGTGCATTCCTGCACTTCAAGGGTAATAAAATGTCTCTTGATCATCAAAAGTATTGAAAAAGGACAGCAACAGGTACAAGTAAAGAGCCTTTACCCCAGCGAGGTCTTATAGAAGCCATAATTTGGTAGCTAAACAATGGCAGCAATACATTTGCTCTCAAACTTGGTTCTTTGCTGCTGCTCTACCTACAGTTGTTTCAAACACTGGTCATTCTTCCAGGCGCCTGGAGATGCCAACAGATGCCACTCAACAGCTGTTGAGAGGTATTAGTTTTCTACCCTTATAATGCACTAAGAAATCTTCCCTGCAGAAGGATGTATCTTTCTGGGTTTTGGCACTCCTGCTCATTTTTCTACACAAAGTCAGATTATACTTTTTTCACTGTTTTGGTTTAGCTGAGCACGTATAAGTACATTATTTTAAAACATTTACTCACACTAGTTTTTCTGTATTGCCTCTCTGCTCAAGCCATCTTCAGATCAGTCCTTCCCAATTCTACAGAGAGGACATGCTTATTTGAGAAAGAAAAACCTACCTTTTTTTTGGTCTGTCCCCTTTTCTAGCTTCAGGCCATGAGCAAAAGAAAGCACATACTGATAGCAATGTAATATGTAAGACAGAACAACTCCAGCCAAGACTCCTTAATGGAAATGGCAACTGCTATTGATTTCCTAAACACAGAGGTTGTGCCCTTCACCTCTATGACAAATCAGTTAGTAAAGACTTGGGACTCAAGGGAAACTCCTCGCTACGTAAACATGAACTTGTGGTTTATATTAACACAATATATTCTGCAACTTCCATGGTGAAATCCAGGAAAATACAGGAGGAGTCTGCAGGTGACAATCAAAGATGTTCATAGCAAAAAAAAACAATAATCACTAATATAAGTGGAATTGTATTCAACAGGCAAAAGAATGAGCAGGCACACAAGAATACAGAAAAACTGTGGTTGGCCTTTGAATTACCAATAAATTTATAACAATAATGAAAAAAAGAAATATAAAACCATACAGATTTCTTCTCGGTTGCATACAATACATACAGTGATAAATAAAAATAACTGTTATTTATCATCTGATAACTGTAAATTGTACTTGATGCAATTAAAATTAGTGTGAGAACTCAGTTTGACAAGGATAAACATTTTATTATTAATGGCTTTCATGATAGAAGAGACAAATAATATTTTTCCATACAGTAAAATAAGGTTAAGGAGCTCCTCACTACTTGGTAATTCAGTTTATATTTTGAATACAAGGAATATCCCATTTAGGAGCAGAGCAACTTGCCCCTGAAGCACAGTTCCTTCATAAACAATGTTTTTACAGACATTACCAAGGACAAGGAATACACACATCTTAGGAGATGTCTGTGGCCCCTCCTCTCACTGCTAACAGTAAAAGCAGCATAAACAGAACCATTCACTGGCCTGGCTGTACCAGCAGAAAGAACAGACAGGCAGCTTAGATGAATAACACTGAGAATAGAATAACTTATTTCGTCCTTGAAGCAAAAGCAACTTCCTTATACCCCTTAAGTTAATAACGCTTTATTTTGTCCCCAGCTGTTAAGTTTATAGAAATTAAAAGTCATGACTATTTGTCTTTTGCCAGCATGAATTTAAAAGTGCCTTTAAAAAATCTCATTATCATTGTGGTTTTTTTTTTAAAGCAGATTCAATACAAAGCAGATTACATCCTGCCTGCACTAGTAAAGTGCACATAAATTTTTCACAAACCAATTTATCTTAAAAATTTTTCTTTCCTCATTTTGATTCTGGACACAGTGCAAGCAGAAAGGCACTTCAAGTATTTTTCAGATAACAAAATTCTAGTGATGGTGCATTGGTGTTTTTGAGGTCTTTCTGTTTTATAACATTATTTCCAGACCATCAGAAGACACCTTTTATGAAGTGGAATGATCTTATATGAAACAGTTATATTACCATGATATTTTAGTCTAATGCTCAACCTGAATTTGAAGATTAGAACTAAGGGATTCATTCACAGGTAACAGAAGAAGAGGGTAAAAATAATTTCCTTGGTTAAGGAAAGTTGAAAATATCTAACAAATAACCTGCAAGGGGGTTGCATGGATACACTGCACAATATTTTGGCAAAACAACCATCCTACAACAACCATCTGCAGGACCACTACTGGTTCCCCACACCTGTACCAGCAATAATCAACACTCTGGTTACTCAGTCAACAGTCAGATGATTTCAGAGGTGCAAGCCATTCTTTTTAAGACACTAGGAGAGGAGCATGACCATAATTCTCACCAAAAGTCTTTAAGAGTGCTGGGAAGAGACACAAGATTTCCAGCTCCGTGGGAAAGTGTTTCTCTGGAGGACAGCCCTTCCTCTACAGAGACTTGACTCATCAGTGCTTGGGGACAGTCAGGAGATACTGATTGAACAAACACTTCCAGGGAAAAACTGCACTATACTTGGAGCCAGCAGAGATATTTATAGTCAGGTTTGTTTGAATGGCCGTAATAGCTGAGGTATGGCTTTTATTCTCTAGATGGCTCCTAAAAAAAAAAAAAGAAGGCAAAGACACTGGTGGAGCAGGAAAACTTCCACTGTCACTTTTCATGCAGCACTTGTCTCTCCCTGGCACTGATGACAGCCTTTTCACAAGTACCCTAGGCACCTTACAGAGAGAACAAGACATGAGTATGTCATGACATGAGTGCAAAAAACGGAATAAAAGTTACCTTATGCAAGTCTGAGTCACTTACTGTTAAGACATAGCAAAATCCTGAATCTCTCCTGTTCTTTCATTTGCTTTCACTCCTGCCTAAGGAAGGGGTTTGATCACACTTTCATTTTAGCTAATAAAGTGTTCACAAGTAATATATTTACAAGAAACAGTATCACTGTCTCATTTGAGGGGGACAGGACTGACTGTCTAGGAACAGTCAGCGAGCAACAGCCAGTAAAGGAGAAAGAAAATTAATTTCTTGGGGTTTTGGGTGAATTCTAAACGTGTCATCTTATTCCTGCATGTTTGCTAGTCATGGAGTAGAAGTGGTCAGAAACAAGAATATGTCACTGTCTTTTTCAAAAATCTCAGAAAAAGGCTGAGTCAAGAAACGACCCTAATCAGAAAGCAACGTGCAGAGGAACAAGTTCTTCACCCACAGCAGTACTGCTACACTACTACAACCCTGACACTTCTGCTTGTTCCTCAGTAGTCACTCTATACTAGGAAAGAGAATTTGGAAAGCTGGCAGTAACAGAATCACCCATGACACCTTCAGAACAAAGCTGTTGACCAGATTGTTCCTATTTGGCCAAGGTGCTTAGTTGGCCAGAAAGCAGAGGAATAAAAAAGAGGGGGAGAAAAAGTGACTTAAAAAACTCACTATAAAGAAACATAATTCCCTGTTCTTCTCAGTAAGTGTTTCCAGGGGAAAAAAAAAAAAAGCTACGAGCTCCATCTAAGCATAGTTGAAATTCCTGCCTTGGGGAAAAAAATCTTGCACGTTGTTCCCTTCCCTCCAGCAGACAGGCGGTGATGGCGACGGTGCAGTCCTTCAGGAGAGCCTTCAGGGATACACCAGAGAAAACTTCCAATTCTCTTTTCCACATTAATTTGCATTAAACTGACATTTTTCACGACGGGCATTTTCAGTTTTGTGAGAAAATATACTTTTCTTTGGAAAGTCCATTGCCAGAATATTCCTGCCACCTCAGCTATTTCAGATTCCTCCTTTATCTTTGGTAGTGCTGCCTTCTGAAATGCAGGCACGGGAAGACACTTATGACATCTCTGCAGGCACACTCTTTACTATGATCACATTCCTATGCGTCATAGCACATTCTTTACAAAACAACCAGTTGAAAAGAGTGGATATGATTTTCAGCTTCAGGATATTAAACCTTTCTTTACCGCTGAAGGGATGAGACACTGATTTAGAAGGAATGAAAGGCAGAGAGAACTGCAATTGTTCAGCCTGGAAAAGAGGAGGCTTCGGTGTGACCTAATTGTGGCCTTCCAGTACCTGAAGGGATCCTACCAGGAGGAGAGAGAGGGATTATTTACAAGAGCATGTAATGACAGGACAAGAGGGAATGACTTCAAACTGACAGAGAGTAGATTTAGATTAGATATACGGGAGAAATTCCTTACTGTGAGGGTGGTGAGGCACTGGAACAGTTTGCCCAGAGAAGTTGTGGTTGTCCCATCCCTGGGAATGTTCAAGGCCAGGTTAGACGGGTCTAGTGGAAGGTGCCCTTGCCTGTGGCAGGGGGCTGGAATGAGATGATCTTTATGGTCCCTTCCATCCCAAACTATTCTATGATTCTACGAACCAAAAGACAAAGCAGTTCCTCATACCTTCCTCTCAGACTGGATGCAACCAGCCCTGTGAAGCAACATTTAGTCAAGCATTGACTCTTCTGCATCACCGCTCCTAAACCAGGAGTGAACATCCCACGAGAGCACCAGGAGGCCACCTGACTCAGAGGCTCCTCTCTGAATCACAGTCACCTACTCCCCGTGGGAGGGAAGGGGTAGTGATTTACTGCTGGCCTGTAACAGGACTAAATTATTGCCTCCCCTCATGCAGGTGCTGGCTCAGCTATTTTGACCCAGCGAGTGGGAGGGCTGAGCCAAGGTGTTACCCAGCCCTTGGAGCTATCCACCTTCTCCTGGAATGCTCGCTGGGAGAGGAGGCTTAACCAAGCTGCAGAATGGAGGGGGGGTTATATACCCTCTTCCTACTTTCTCCAGACAGATGAAGCCACAAACCAATTAAACTACAAACTATTCCACGCTTATTTTCAGATTAAAACTGTGTTTAATACATAGCCATTGTGTGCTTTGTGCTGTGAGTTCTGCTCCGAGAACCTTTCAGGAAATCATCAATGGAGACCAAGAAGTTGAAAGCTGGCAAAAGGCATTTTTTGTAGCATCCTGAATTTGCCAGTATTGTTTAAAAAGAAGAAAAAAAATCTTATATTTTAGTACCCCTTGGACTTCTATAGATGCCAAAAATAATCGTAGTTCTGTCCTTGTTCAAGACAAACCCAGTTTAGGATAATTGTCCTTGATATGTATCACAGGAAACCAAACACTGAATTACTTGTATTGTGTATTGAGCAATTCCATGATCTGGATAAGCCTACATCAGTGAAGTGTTTGAGTGGAGTTCAGCAATAAAAGACATCAGCTATAAGAGTGGATGTTCGATGTAGCAAGAACCAGTTATACAAACATGCATTAAGGTTATAAACTAAAGTTCATTAATTCAGTGTGCTTAGAAATCAACAGCAAAAACAAATGACAATGCTATGTAGCAATAACAACAATGAGCATAAACAGAAGTGGTTTAAATTGTAGCAAATTCCAGAAACAGACACATTTTCTGAGCCAAGAAAACTCAATTTCCACTTGGCACAAAAGAATCAATTAGATGTGGCACTTACTGGTCAGCTGAGAGTTGCATACACCTCTCCTCTCTTCTAACACTTCAAACTGTGTACAAATCAATGATCAAAATAAATGCAACCATACAACTTGGTGAGTTTGTCATAAAACCATTCATTTCTCAAGTTTGTTTCTCTGTGTGGAATTTTCTTACAAAGATAGCTGCTGTCATAACTAGTGTCCATTCCCTAGCAGAGAGAAAAGGAGCAGAAAATCAATCAGTTTGCAAACTCAAAACTAATTGAGCCATTCCCCAACACTGCATGACTTGCAGGAAGACAAGGAACTGTTTAATGACTGAGATGTTTTACCTCTGATCTAGGTACCTATGTGGCTTGGAAAGCACCTCATTTAAAAGAAAATTCAAATGAAGAGTATAGGCTGAGACGAGGGCTAAATCTTGCTTCCTCACACAGTGAAGTGGTAAGATTTCAGTAGCGCAAAGAACTTCTCCAAAGGCCAGTGAAAGCCAAACTTTGGAGCAGATTTTATCTGAGTCTAAGGAAGAAAATAATCCTAACTGGAGCTGGCTTAAATGTAAGGCCTGGTAGATAAAACAACTTGTGAGACCTGGGAAACTCATTTTCCTTAGAAATCCTGTTATTACACAGAAAGAAGACTTTAAAATGCCTCAACCAATACATTAATTTAATGGAATTATGCTTCATCTATTCTACACTTCATTGGAAAGAACAACTTAAACAAAGTGATTGCAAAAAGTAGCCTACTCTTAACATTTTCTTGTATTTCAGTTGTTCTTTAATACTTCATTTCAACAGTCAGTAGAAGAAAATCATAAAACAGCCAAGCTGCCATATTAACTCAGTTTTCTGACCAGTATTCCCCTCGTGAACAAGGCCATCCCCAATCTGATGTACAGCAAATTTCTGTCCACCTTTCCTCATCGCCCAGTCCTCTCCCCTAAAATGGCAGTTCATTTTTCTTTTTATACTTCCTGCTTCAGTTGTTCACAATGTTCTCAATGGGCATAACAAAGAAAGAGAAGAAAAATGCAATTAGCTTCTTCTTCTGTTTTTTAGACTCCAGCATAAGAAGAACACGAGTACTTTGATTGTTCCTGTGCAAATATTCCTGCCATTGGACACGTCAACACTTGCAAATGTGTCAGGACAGACATAATCAAATTATTCTTTCCTGTGGTTTGTTTTTGTTTGGGGTTGGTTTGTTTGTTTGTTTTGAAGTTATTTACAACATGAATCTTTAATTCCTTCTAATTGAAGGCATCTGTCCTGATATCTGCCTCTTCTATCTGAGGAGCCTGTGTCCTCTTATGCAAGTCCTGCTATTCAGGTTCCAATTCATCTTGCTTGACATTTTCCTAGTTGGAAACTGTGTCTGTAAAGAACCTCCAGAAATGGAGGTGTGATGCTTGGTAGAACTCAATATCCTAGATAGGCTGAAGAATATTTAGCTTGCTCTTACAATAACCATCAGTGTGCTGTTAAATGGTGCCAAGCCACAAAGTACCTCATCTGAGCGATGGGATTAGTCCATTTTGTGACAAATATTGCAATTGCAAAAGCATCTATCACAAAATCTCATTATAAGGCCAGGAAACATTTTCTAGCATAATGTCATCGTACTCATTCAGATCACAGAAACTTCTGAAATACAGAACTAACACCCTTCCCCCCAACCTGCAACAGAAATTTTACACATCCTTAAAAATGTCAAGATGTATGGAAAGGACTCACCCTATTTTTTTCCCAGGACCTATATTACAGGGCAGAGGAACTACTTTTTGTCAGGCAGGAAGAGTATTCTAATGGCTAGAGCTGGGAAAACTTTCCTGACAAAAAATATTTCACTGAAAACGGAACATACAAGTTAATGTTGTTTCCAGGAAAGATCCTTAATCAACCAACAGGTTCTTGAGTGAAAAGAGATTTTTTTCTCAAGAAATACAATACTTTTGATTCAGGCATGGGAACTACAACATTTGTAACCTGTCTACAAGCAAGTCTACATCTTTCTGAGACTCAATAACTTGATTTTGTTTGGCTATTATGCTATTTAACTTTAGTGGCTTCTTTTATCTGTGTAACAGTGTGATGAACTGGGAACAACCCTTTGAGGCAGGGTAGAGGGGAAAAGGAAAACAAAACAATCTTCAAGGAGAAAGTAAGGACGGGAAGAAGGTCCCTGAGTGTGGTACTTTGTCAGACACAAGGGGTAGCAGACAGAGCTGGAACAGGCAGAGACTGACACTGAGAGGAGATCAGAGCATGTCTCCTGTCCTGATGGAAAGGTTTATGTTTCCTTAAGCAGCCTGCAGGTAACGGGCTCATTACTCTTCCCCTTGTGCTCCCACATGGACAGGAGCCTTAGAGCAACATTCCCAGGGATGCAGATAGTAACTGAACCTCTCTCTATTGCTTCCTTTTCCATCTTTATCCCGTGCAGCAAAGTTCTGACAATTCCTTACGGAGCCAGAGTTTACCCCAGGCCTGCTGAAGGCACAAAACTACATTTTTTACCCCATAACAGCAGGCCAAATGAGAAATGCTGGAAGAAGGGAAAATGAAATCTGGGATATGACCTGTGTGATCCGATTCTCAGTGTTCTCTGTACCTTCTTTAAAATGCACTGAACCAAGGACTGGTTACATGGTTAATAAATCTACTTGTTTTTTGCTTTAATCCAAATGAAAGGAATATCCAGGAGCGGAAGAGGAGGAACAGGCTGTGCATATTAAACCCATATTTGTGCAAAATAAAATGCCTGCTTTAAAAGTGTGTTCCTGAACCTGAAGATAACATCTCCAAGAGATTGGACTGGGAGATGAAAGGTAAAGGCACTGCATTCAGGCAGAGCTGAACATCCATCACCACTCAAGCATGGAAATACAGAGTAAGGGCTTCAGCAGCTCACATCCTTGGAATCAGTTATCTAATGATTCATCTTTCCCACAATAACTGTTGCAAAAATCAATCCTACAGCTTTCCTCCAGTCTTGGGCTTTGCATGGAAAAGCAATTGTTTAAATTAATTATTTAGCAAGTACTTTCAGGAAGTTTAAAATACAGCAGCTAGCTATGCTGTCTGTTTATTTCACAATCATTTAATTTTTTTTTAATATCGCATCTCAGATACACAGATATGTGATTAAAAACAAACAGTTGTAAGAAATGTCAATATAAATAGTAGACAATGAAATACAGCGTTTCAGTTCATTAATATCTGTGTCTTAGGTGACTGCAGGTGCACCCTAATGAATTACATGACTAGTAAAATACAATTAAATGCAGCTGCATGTGTTTACAAAACTGCAAAACCAAATTACAGGTATCAGTAGCGCCCATAATTCATCCATAATTGACAATTTTCATATTACTGGAATAAGGAATCAAGTCATGCAGATGATTACTGCATTTGCCTTTGAGCACTAGAGACCTAGGTTCATTTGCTATGCAGCACCACAAATGAAACAAATTACATACTTGCAGGTTAAGACAGACCTGAAAGCAAAAGCCTCCCTGAATGACAGCCAAAAGCCCAAATCATTCAGGTTCTATTTAGCTGTCAATAAAAGTTCATGAATGGCTGACAGCTGACATAACTTAAACATATTGTTAAT